TATAAACCTATTAGAGGTAAATATGGAACACCACTAATAGTAGTACCTCTACATATAATAATAGCACATATACCTTAGTTATGGTCTCTGTACCTTAATTAGGTACAGAGACCTTAGTATGGTTCACAGACCGAGAATCATTAGTTTATTTACGACTATTATAGGTGTTCCATATTTACCACTAATAGGTTTATAAACCATAGCTTTTTCTCAGTGTGGTACGGGGTACCTTAATTAGGTACAGAGACCTTAGTATGGTTCACAGACCGAGAATCATTAGTTTATTTACGACTATTATAGGTGTTCCATATTTACCTCTAATAGGTTTATATACCATAGTTTTTTCTCAGTGTGGTTTGACGAAACACATGAGTCACACTTGCAAAATTTTGGATCATCGTTAATGGTTTTTTTTAATTTCAAAAAATTAAATCTTCTGGAAGCCAGTTCTGACATAGATATTTACATGCGCTAAGACAGCCGAAGGGAGATCAGCACCAAGCCTTACATTTTGGCTTGGGCCAGCTGCCTTGCGCTTTCGAGTGACAGACACCTGATCGGCGCTAGCCTCAGGCGTCTGACCTAGTTTGGGGCCGTGCTATTTTGAGGCACCTGCCCTTGTCCGGTGGGCACCGGAGGATCTACCTCCATTGCGTGCCCTGGAATGACGGGCCGACCAGGTGGGGCTAAGGTGGGCACGCTTGCAGGCATGGCCCGTGTTAGACCGGGGGGAGGAGTGAAGTGAAGGATGGGTGCGGATGGAGGCCCCTTAGTGCACAACAAATACCCACGACTAAACTGAGGCCCACAAGGTGTGTTAGCCATGGTTTGGATGGTGGCTTGGCCAGCAGCGGCCTCGGTAAGAAAGGGGCCATAGAGACGGAGTTCCTCCAACACGTAAGACTTGTATGTGCATGGTTCAAATATGTAGTGGGCGGTCAACCAGACAGGTGGACGTGGATGGGCAGCAATCTGGCCTGGGGTTGATATTCCAAGCAAGTCCCAAGGGAACTCCTCATAGTTGACGGGCAAAGGACCAGCCGGGAGTAAATGTTTAAGAATACAAAATTACAAATACACAATTACTAATACAAAAAGGGTTTAAGCCCTTGCACGTGGAGATGGACGGCGTCTTGTGGCGGCCGCGGTGGTCTTTGCAATGGCTGCTGGTGATGACGCCGCTGAAGTGCTTCCCTATGCCGCTGAGCACGTCTTCTGGACCGCTGGGCGTGGAAGGCCATGTTCCTCTGGACCCAGTTGGGAGCAGGGACTAGCAACGGCTGCGGAGCGGCGTACGGTTGAGGCGCCGGTGCTACTGGCGCTGGGACTACCACTTCGGTTTGGACGCCGATTGAAGATGATCGACGAGGCGACGTTTGAGTCGACGCATCCCGGGAGGTCCTAACTTCGATGGTGGAAGCTTCTGAGGATGTGGGGCTGAGAAGCCTCTCTTCCTCTGAGAGGGATACAAACCAGGTGCTGTGACTGGGGGCCTGAGCAGGCGGAGGCGGAGCCGTAATAATAATTATTTATTGTAGATTTTTCACATAACAAATTATACAAAGTCAAGGTAGAGAAGGTACAAAACAAATAATACAATACCATACAAATACAATACAAAGTCCAGGTAGAGAGGGTACATGGTAACAGATACTAGGCCCACCTAGGTTAAAAGTCTGTTAGTTATCTTTCTAGATACTCTTCTATTGAGTAAAAAACATTTGATTAACAGAACTCTGTCACCATTTTTTTAAACAATCTTGGATCCTGTGTTTTCCTATATTCTCCGGGAGCTTATTATAAATTATTGTACTGTTAAATTTCGAACCTTTTGTGCCAAGTCCTTTGGGATGCTCAGTTCGTTTAATGTTATCTCCCCTCCGTAGGTTCCCCACGGCTGGTCATCAGCCTCGGACGAGTAGGGATCCTTTGCACTGCAGCAGGAACAACAGCTTGACGTGATGCCGTGCGTGCCTGACTGGCGTCCACGAGCTGACGGCGTGCAGCTGGCGTTAGCCTACGCTCGGGGCGCCCGGCTGCAGCGGCAGGAGTGGAAGAGCGGCTGCTCGGCCGGCGAGAAGATAAAGCCTCGGCTGAGCGACCGGCTGCAGCGGGTGCAGGGGCCCTTCGGAGAAGCGGCGCTGGAGCCGGAAGTCGCAAGGGGGCACGGCTATGGTTCGGGCCCAGCAGGGAGTTTGCCGGCCGAGGGATCCGAGAGGGGGCTTGACGGTCGACTGGCCCAGGAACTGGTCGCGGCGGAACTGGAGGCGAGACTTGCTGGCGAAAGGCTTGCAGCCTTCGAGCGACTGGAGAGGGGTGGAGCTCAATCCCCGAGTCACTGTCGGAACTTAGTTCGATCGCAAACTGGTCCGTACTCTTTTTAAATCACTTAAAACTAAGTTAATTATCACTACTAAAAATAATTGGACTGAAAACATACAGCACGAAATAGGTACACTCCAATCACATGTGGAGAAGTATATGCTCGCGATGACCGGCGAGAAGTCACTGACTTGATGAATTTTGGTGACACCCACGAGGCTCAGGTGCGCACCGTTAGGGTTTCTACTGCTGAGGACAAACTTACTCGTGATATCAAACGTTATCAACGATGCTGCGATCGAGGCTTCTAAATCTGATTTGCGTTAAGACGTTGCAAGATTGTGCACTGACAAAAACTGCGAAACTGTACCTGTACGAAACTGTAGCGCAGCCGCTAAATTCGATGGTGCGTCATCAGTACGTGAGCTGCTCCATCCATAACTGATCGGATTTATGTGACCTGCGGATAGTAGAATTTCATGCAAGAGACATCTTGAGGATTGTGGGATTGCTAGATCGATTGTGGCCGATTCGCAAATTAGTTGCACTTCAATTAAATCGCTTGATGCCCTTTTTTTAGTGAAAGAGTCTGAAAGGTCTTGTTGTGGGGGTGGGGAAAACAGACGCCGAACACGAATGTACAGGAATATAAATATATGTAAAATCACAAATAACTCGATAAAAAGTACACACAATGAAATATAATAAATCTAGCACCACATCTATGCTGGTCTGATTTTCACAAAACGGCCTCTCACGGGGGGATCTACCGGATCATCTCGCGAAATCCATTTCTACGGACTGATCTATCTCTATTACTAGAACACACACTCACGGGAGCTGACCGGACCATCCGGGAATCTATTCCTCGAGACTGATCTCGCCCATGCGATCACCGATTCTTTTTATGTCAAAACGTGTGCACTTCCGCGAAACTGAAGCTTCACGTTTAGACATAAACTTCTGACGGACCTATCTCTATCGCTGGCCCTGGAAATCCGTGATTTCTCATGAAAAGCCATGACGCAAAGCACGCCTCATCTATGGAGCTGAAAGTGGGGAACTTAAGCCTGTAAAGACTTAAGCGTTCCCACAACAGTCTTCTGGCCTTTCATTCTTTAAATGGAGTTTTAAGACCTTAAGGTAGTTAGTAATTAAGCTGTTATAATTAACGGTATACGCGAAATATAATGATTACTCACTTTTTTTCGAATATAACCCGCGGTAATCGAGAATGTATGAAGACTTCTGATTTTATAAATACTGTTTCTCGGACTTTTTTCCCGACAGGAAAATTGAATGCAAGTAGCGTCTCAACAAGGAATTGATACACAAACTTTTTTTTTAATGATTCCCAATAATAACGACCGTTTCTACTTCGCGCCAGAAGTTATTTTAGAAGGAGTAATATGCCACTAAAACTTTTGGCTATCATCATAATGTACTCTTTGAATTAAAAGAAATTAAAGTACTCAAGTCTAGTGAATTTTAACAGATTTCACTATTTATTCGTCATAAATACAGTCTTTCGTACAAATTGTACAAATAACTACCCTTAATTTGAAAACCCTTGTATAGACCCTTCCTAAGGGCGTATCTTACGTCGTAGAGTGCCTTTTTAGAAGTATTATTTCCATCAATTAGTGCACACTGGTTTATCTTACGCTTAACAACTTGGATTCATTCCTATGATATCTGAGAATTTGTTTAAGTGCCATGGTTATGTCTCTCCTTCACTCTCTAAAATTTCATTTTACAGGCTTTTGTGTGACGATGGTCAAAGTCAAAAAATGTGCTTAACAGATTTTAACGTGTTATTTCCAATTTTTTCTTCTTCTTTTTTTTATTTTATTTATTTTTAATTGTCCAAACTCCGTAACTCTTGCGCCACCCCATCATTTCTCTCAAGCTTTTTCTCAAAATCCGTCCGTGATTTTTTTTTCCTCTTCCAATCAATTTTCAGTAAAATGCTAGGGGATTATTTTGCTTGTTTTCATTCGAAGGAGAATATCGATGTTTGGCAAACGTTCCAACTGAGGCACGCATTTACCGACTGAGATCATTAATTTGAAAGGAAAACGTGGATTTGCTAAGGTTTCGTCTTGTTTTATTGCTGCTTACAGCCTCCTCCTTAGTAAGAGAGCCACTAACATTAAATTCTCAGTCATATACCGCCAGAGTACGGTCAAATCAATAAAAGTAAAATTACTCTATTTCAAATCAATGGGTCCGTTGCGCCGGTCAAGGAATTGTACTTCGATGCCACATTCTTGTAGATCTGCAAAAAATAATAAGATCCGTCCAAACAGCAACTTTCTACTTTGAATATTGACCGAGAATCGCGCCTGAAAAAAACTCGATTCATGACATCATCCACCGGGGTGGCACACACCGTGTTCTGCACAACCTCGGTTGATGACGTCATAAATCGAGTTTTTTAAGGCGCGATATTTCGGTTAATATTCAACGAAGAAAGTTGCTGTTTGGACAGATCGTATTACCGAATCTACAAGAATCAAGCATGAAAACACGATTCTGCACGGAATAAATTTAATTGCTGATTTAACAACTCACTTGTTAGAAAAAGTGACTGCAACATTTTAACGTAGATCTCACAACAAAAAAATGCTACTTCAACCACTATTTTGTAAGCTAATTTAACCACGGGGGTGGCAAAGTAGCATTTTTTGGTTGTACAATTCACATTGAAACATTGCAGTCACTTTTTTTTAGTAATTGAATTGCTAAATCAGCAATTTAGTTTTTTCCGTGTGTGACCAGTGTAACTGGCCCATTGCTAACCAGTTGCATAAGTAATTATGAAAAGCTTACAAATAAACGCATTTTGCTTTACAAAACTAGGTTGCGGTATACAGATGCCGTTGCACGTGGTGACTTCATGAATGAAGCGCGTGCAAGGGCCTTGAGGCCGTGTTATGAACGGCATTCCTTGCTTTACTGGCTTCTCGACAGCGGGAACGGGAAGGATGTGTAAAGAATCAGCTTCACGGGAACTTTCAAAATTGAATTTAAAGTTTGCAAAACTCTTGCTAGCCAAAGTTTGTCGGTGTGTCGAAGAGTTTCCAAAGTCATTCGTAGCTCTGCCACCTCGAGCCTGTCGGAAATAACAAAATCCGCAATCATTATCGGCTGTGCCGAGCTTTTTCCTGAGGTAAAATAGGATTTCCTTCAGGAAGACTTACATTATTTTTCAACTACTCCCTTCAGAAACTAAGCTACGATGAGGAAGATGTTATTCAAGAAGAATGGAGGCATAGTGTTAAAGGAGTTAGGTATATGAAACCCGAAATGGTCATTCTCGCAGTCATGTGACTGAGTCCCCTAAATGAATGAAAAACCTTTGTAACTATATTTGTTCAAAGAAAGTATGGTAAGGGGCCTTTTATTGAAATGAGGGAGTGCCAACTCCCTAACGGGTTGTGGTGAGACGGAGTACCCACTTTAACGGTAATATACACTACACATACACGCACACACTTATACATGCATGAAATTGTTATATTCTAGACATTTTGTGTAGTCGAAGATGTTAATACGCGTTTTTTTACAATACTGTGATCGCTTTGGTTCTTTTCTGTTAAATGCCATCGCACTGGAAAAAAACACGTTGGATCTAGAGTCCAGACTCTTGCAATTATTGATAAGAAAACACACTCTTGATTCAATCAAATTTAAGCTTAAATCAAAAGAAAATTCGCTCAAATTAAGAGGCTTGGTTCTTGATTTAAGCTTAAATCTGATTGAATCAAGAGTTTTATTTCATGTCGATGTTTTTAAGAGTCTGGACTCGAGATCCAATGTGTTTTTTTTCCAGTGCGAAGTATCAGTGCCCATTTTGAATTCTGAACGACTCAAGACGAAAGAATGTCTCTCCCACTGTATGCAAGAGTTTGCAACAATCTAATTTCTTCAAACAGTTTCGCAACAGCCGAAGGCATTTTCAGACCGCGTGAAGATGAGCTGGTGACCGAATGCTTTCGAGAAGGTTCTTTCTGAATGAGTTGGCGGTGACGCAATCTTGTGTGAATGCCCGCGCGCGGAATTTCACTGGGAAGATGATGAGAGGGAGTCTATTTTGTGTAATTGCCCGCGGTTTCTGAAGTTTAATCTTCGACCTCTCCACTGAAATCGGACGCCGAGTGTTTCAGCCGACCACTAAACGCCTCACAATCTGGAAGGCGTCTCGTTTATAAGTTTCATGCCCTCAGCATCATATGCTTGGTTTTGTGATCCTTGCACGGTTCGTGGAACCACTTAGGAGCAGAAGAAGAAAATTGACCACTAGACAAGGTACGAATTTAAGCATTCTGATTCATGTATCTTAACCAAAATTTCACGTAGAACACGATTCGCGCAACGAAAATTACTGAAACTAACTCCTAACGGAGATATTAAGATTTTTATTTTACATTGGTTACAAGGAATTTGAACTGTCCGCTCACAAGAAACTCAAAGCTCTACGTAAGTCAAATCGCGCACTACAACGGTTTCAGCAAGCTTCTCAATCGAGCAATGTTCATTTCCCACCATGTGTTTTTCAAACTATAAGTAATTTGCTATAGCTGAGCCAAAGTGTCAAGATTGAGGTTCCCAGATTTTTTTCATCGCAGAGACGTTCATGATAACGTTTGGCGCGCGATGTGAATCACGTAAAGCATTGAGTTTTCATGAGCGGGTGGTTTCAATTCACGCACCAAGAATCATTAAGTAGCATTGGAAGGAGTTAATTTCGGTAATTTTCATTGTGCGAATCGTGTTTTACGTGAAATTTTTGTGAACTAATATGTATCAGAATGCTGTAATTCGTACCTTGTCTAGTGGTCCATTGATGGGTTTTCGGCCTCTCGTAATGAAAGAAACAAATATTGAGCTTTAAGTCAACTTTCTCTTTAGTTATTTATAATCCCAGGGCATGCTTTAAAAAAAACTGTGTGCAAGAGAATGTTCATTTAAAACTTACCTTGACATGGTGATAGCAGCAAACGTTTCGGCCATGACATTGACCTTCATCGGTGCAAAGACTTTTGTCTTATTTTTGTTTCTTGTATGCATACTTCCAGTGTTCTTCCATCTTTTTACTTTCTCTGCACTGATGATGGTCATTGTCATGGCCGAAACGTTTGCTTATATCACCATGTTTAGGTAATAATAATTTTCTTTTATTTCTCTTGTACATCGTTAATTTCAGCATGACCTGAGTTAACATATTATTTTTCAGGAGGAAATCGGCTAAAAGCCTAATATTTGTTTCTTTTGAAGCATACGTTACGTTTAAAATCACTCCCCATGACTTTAGGGGTAAAAACTTTGTTCGCTTTACAGTCTGAAAGTTTTCAATTCTGGCCGTCAGCTTTTTTTTCAAAACTAATTATCTCGCAATTATGACGGTTTTCGTGTATTTTGAGTGTATCATTATTATATTGAGAAGTATTCCTTTTTCCAGTAAAGGTTACACGCAGAATAGGAGAACACTTGAGTCACTTTTGGGACAGTGTATGTAGAATCAGAGAACAGATCAACTTGGAACATATCTCATTTTCTATCTTCATTCTGTTGTTGTCATGCATTCATGATTCGCGTTGTTCATTATCTTTTGAATAGCACAGAGAGAATACTAGATTGTGTTGCGAAAGTGATTTTGTCCGCGCAAGTTTTCGAGGCAAACTGACCCTCTCTCGCCGCGTTTCACAATTAGTGCTTCTCTATTTCCCACTCGGAAATTCCGCTTTTCCCCTCGCACCTTTTTTCACCCAGCAAGAAAACTAATTGACACGTGGATGTTGTATTATTCAAGTGTCCGAGACTTTTTGGCAGATTATTTTAATTATTTCTCAACTCGGTTTTTTTTTTCTCTTACCCTATGCTTTTAAAATTCGCATTCGCTCGAAATTACCACTCTTATTCTGCTGTGTTGAGGAACATCGCTAATGAGCATTCAGGCGTTGCCATATTTCCTTCAATTATAAACTAATTCACCGGAAAATTTTTGAGTATTTTTCCTCCAATTTTCTTACAATTTTGTTCGGAATTTAATCTAATCCGTTTGAAAATGTCAAGGTGAAATATGCATAATTCTCTTTAAAAAAATGTTTAATTCGGAAAAATTTGGCAACTCTCGGATGCTCACAAGGCGTTTTGCGTCAGTCAGTATTATCGAACCTCTCTGCGAACCTCTACGCGCTTCCCGGTTTAATATCCCCCGTCAAGTTGCTGAAGTACTACGCCCTCTCATTTTCATAATGGGAGTTGATGAGTTGTACGGAGTTGTATTCCTCAAATCAAAAATCATCTAAAATCCACGAGTATATCGATGAACCTGACAACGTCCGTATCGAGTTGCGTTGCGTATTCATAAATGGGTGCACCGGTGAAATTCACCGCTATTCACGGATGATAATGTAATCCTTCGGATGGCGCTTCCGGACTGTGCATGTGTCCGTATTTTAAATCAATATATGTATTGACCCTTCAAAAATATTTCCACGTGCGCAATAATTAGCATCGCGCTTGCTGTGCGATTTTCGAAAATGAAATTCCTCGCTCGTTAAGGTCTCGTTTTTTGCAGTTTTTGGGCCGACAGTGATATTTATTGTAGAAATTTAGGCCCTAAATTCTGATCAACCGGCGAACGTCGCGTCGTAGAGGCTCAATTGGACTGCATTTTGCAATTTGGACCTATGAATTCCGGCCCGATTTAAAAACAACGTATGTGCCATTAGTTTCCCTATGCACATGAGTGTTTTTTCAGATGAGCCAGAATTTATAGGTCCAAATTGCAAGATGCAGTCCAATTGGCCGGCTTTGATGGGTGATTCATCGCTTCAGAATTTTCAAGTTTAAATTGGCGGCAACGCATTTTTCACAGCCAGCTTGCTCTCAATCGAAATTTGCGGAAGTCAAAGGAAAAAGACGACGAGAAAAGTGTAGGAGGGCAACATCTCAAAGTGGTGCCCTTTGCAAGACTTCTCACACAGTTCTTTCAAAAAATAATTAGCCACTGGATCCTTCCGTGAGCGATACAGTTGACGCATTTTGTCATATTTTAAAACATCACTATGTCTCCAAAATAGTGGTGATACTTGGTAATTACGATTTAAATATGTATCATTGCTCTGTATTTCATGAGGTGTTTCTTCGGGTCAAACAAGAATTAGCTTAATTTTACGTGCTCGCCTCGAAGTTGCCCAAAATCTTAATTTCTTGATGTTTTCTTAGAATTTTTTTTTCTACCTTTTCTTTCTGATCTTCTGGTTGTTTTCCTCTTTCTTATGTGACAATGGCCATTTCGGGATCTGAGTATCTCATCAACAGTGAGTTTTAAATCGGTTTTATCGTGAAACAGTAGAAACCACGGAGTGAGCAGAAGACCTATTGATAGGATACTCAGATCCCGAAATGGCTATGGTCATTTTTTTTTAAAAAAAGGAAGTAACCAGGAGATTAAGAAACAAAAATTTTCCAAAAAAACATCAACATGAGTCCTGCTATAAGTGGAAAAACTTTCAACATATTTGATTTCTTAGTTGGGAAAGAAAATGATTTGAGGCTATTTTTACGTGTTGAACTAATCGATACCGTTACTATCTCGGCGATTGAACGCCTGTGCTGCCGTGCTAAGGAAGAACGCCGTATGAACAATCGAGAGTTGCCAAATTTCCCTTAATTAAACATGTATTTTTGTCATCATTCATGCATAATTTTTCTTGAAATTTTCAGATATTTTAGATCAAAGTACGTATACAAAATTGTCTGAAATTTTCGGAAAATAATTTTCGCAATGTCCCCAGTAAATTTCGGTTTTTATCGGAGGGAACTTGGCAACGTCTGAAGGCTCTTACGGTGTTCTTCCTTAGCACGGCACTGTCGGGCGTATCGAATACCGACGGTGAAACTACCAAACCACGTATCTCGGTTTGCGACGTCGCAGACTTCCTGTCATACTTTATTTTTTAAATGAAAAACTACTCAACGTCCAGTCTAGAAAATTTCTGTGATTTTTCCTCTTCGTGCGAAGAAAATTCTGTGAAAATTTCGAGGAATGATATCGATTTGGTCTACTTCAAAAAAATAAAATGTGAGCGTAGATTTTTAAACACCGCAAACGAGATACGTGGTTTGGTAGTTTCACCGTCGATACGATCCATAAGACGACACGTAGGTAATCCTCTGGCGTATCTGAATTTCCACATGAGCCCTGTTTTACCATATGAATCTGTGTCTTCTGGGGCTGATGCAGAATTTGAGATACGCCCTTACGTCAGAGGAACGACGTTATATCGAGCAACGGTGGAAACCCCTTGATTAGGAGTTGGGATGCGAATGCTCCCACTTACTGCCGCCACCGCAAAACCTCGCAGCGAGCACGTGTTAATCGTCCCCGTATCCATTCGGGTCTATTGATTGAGGGTGCATAATATGCGCCAATAACGGCCGATTCTCGCGAGGCGAATTTATTATTGAAAACCTGCCCCCGGATGCTAAGTCTGGATGAGCGTGAATAATCCATTATCGATATTTCCCCATTCGGAGCTGTGGTGAATAATCGATTACTACGGTGTTAGTTGCGATTACACTGCTTTCGATCCTTTTCCGTGGGTTTAATGGCAGCTCAGTCGATCTATTGGAACCTCGCCGTAAACCTCTGTGTTGAGCACGTAATTCGACCCGCAGAGACGTTTTTGGGATTGGAGAGGTGGCCCAAACAGCTCCAAACATGACTCTGTCTGTGACGTGTGTCATGAAATCTCGGCGTGCTTACTCTGCTTAGCCTTTTTGAATTGTTTTTTATTGTGTATCTTGTCACGAGTTGCGGGGCGTTTATCATATCTCATCTTACTCCGTAATTTCCGTGTAGGGTCCGATTGGAAACTGTTTTAAGGCTGCTGATAGTTGCTCTAAGTTTCCGATCCCTCAGTTCAATTGATGCTTGGTAAGGCACTAAGGGAGAAATCTGTCGGCAAGATACTTTGAATATTCAGGTTGCAGGTTCACTTCATGCATCGACACACTGAAAACAAAACTCCAGCCCTGGAGGTCATACTTAAGGGCTATATAGACATACCATCTTCGTTCCGGGCTCAGAGGCCGAAGTCCGGCGTGGCTTTCGGAACAATCGAAGCTACGGCTCCAGCACCCGGAACTTTTCGGCCTCTGAGCCCGGAGCGGACGGTATGTCTAAATAGCCTGTAACTGTTTTTTTTCAGTGCACGCAGGACAACTCGTCGCTTGGCTGACATAAGGGCGTAACTACATTCAGAGATGAGCCTGGGAAAGCACTAAGTTATATGGACAACAGGGTTCATCTCGAAGTGTAGTTACGCCCTTATGGTAGGAAGACGACGAACTAATTGACAAATGAATATGCTTACGCATGTCGGAGACACTGCTCCTGGCATTTTTTTCGTTCTTCGTCTTCTTTCTCAAGCTTTGTTTCCAAATCTGCGTTGAAACTTTCCAGCCTCGAAATTTTTCCGCGTAATGCACGATTGTCCCTATTCAACTCTTCATGCTTCCTGTGTAAACAAGAGATACATTTATATTTGAGAGAAAGAAGATCGTACATAGGAATATGCATTTCAAATTTATTTTTTTCAAATTGAACCAAAAACACAGTTAGGCGTAAAAAATACAAATACTGCAATAACTAAAGTTATATTACGAACTGTTTGATTTATGTGGTGCTCGATGACCCCCTTGAGAAAGTGTTCATCATTACACGGAGAAAAAAACTTCATGCATGGGACTCGAAGTTGAGGTCATATGGATCTCTGAAGTTTTCAGATGCTGCATCCGAAAACTCGAGATCCACCGGCCGAAGTTCGGGTTTAGTGTCTGAAATACTTCGGTATGCACCGGAGCACTTCAAATGTATGACCCGAATCCTTCGGTACATAACGAAATACGTCAGATGTTTGACCCGAACTTCGGCAACAGGACCTCAAGTTTTCGGATGTGAGATCCGAAAACTTCAGAGATCCATATGACCTCTACTTTTGGTCCCACAGTTTTTTTCTCCGTGTAACATCAGTTCATCGAGTGATGTCGTGATATTTTGGCAGAATATCTCTCAGATTGTTCAATGTTCAATGTTTATTCATATGATCAAAATGTTTTATAAATTTGGAATTTCTGTTAGGAATTGCAAATCTTTTGTACTTATGCCCTGAAAATTTGTTTGCTGTAATTTTTTTTTTTTTTTTTTTTTTTTGCCCCAAAATCTATGATAGTTCTGGAAGTGCTTAGCACTCGCAGTGGTGATTTTACGAGTTGACAACACTGTTTTTCCTTTGTTCATATTTATTAAAAATATCGATTGGGGAACGCGGAAAATAGGAGCTGAAAATGGAGGACATCAAATCGGTAGTGATTTTTTCCGAAACCTCCGAAAAAAAGTCAGTTCAAAATTACTGTGTGAATTGCTATGCTGTACAAATAACAAGATTTGTAAAAGGAAACAAGAAGTTACGAGTTTTTGGTATCGAATTACATGCTGTTTGAGATTCCAGGGGTGCAAACACGACTATTAGGTATAACGCATCATGCGATTCGAGGTTTTTCACTTGTGAGTTTAAAACACACAAAGCGCGGAAGATGTGCCTTTACGTGCTTGACTGAACGCAAGTATTAGTGGTAACGCAATAAGAATGTCAATGTATTTAGAATTTTAGATACAAGAAGATACAAGAATAGATTAATAGATAGAAGAATTGACAATTGAGATGAGATACAATCAGATCTCGCACTCCGGAGAGTTCAAATAGTTGTATCATTGCGCCTTAGAAATGCGACGGAAGATTACAATTAAAATAGCCTTGATGCACGCTCGCCTTTTCGATTTCCGTTAACATTTTTGGAGTCGTGAATGCATAGCTGAAGTGCGCTTGAGTTAGAATTGTACGAGGGGCGTTCAATAAGTAAGTATCCCCCCCTCTCTAAAATCCATAAGAATGGACCAATTTTAAAAAACTTGGGCTCAAAATCTTCCTTAGGATATTTTGAGTTCAACAAAACAAACCGCAACAAAATCGGACTATGTGCGGCCGAACGCGAGCCGTTTGAACGCGCCGAGGTGCTCGACGCTCCCGCCGAATCTGCGAGGATTTGAAGTCCGCTACAGGAGAAGAGCTTCTCTGCCAAAGCCTC